TGTCCATCACATCATTCTCCTAATGATGTGATCCCGTTCATCAAATGAAAACACATGTCCATGGCTAGGAAACTTAACCATCTATGATCAACGAGCTAGTCAAGTAGAGGCATACTAGGGACACAGTGTTTTGTCTATGTATTCACACATGTATCAAGTTTCGGGTTAACACAATCCTAGCATGAATAATAAACATTTATCATGATATAAGGAAATATAAAATAATAACTTTTATTATTGCCTTTAGGGCATATTTCCTTCATCGGCGCCCTTCACCAGGAAGAAGTTGAGGTAGGGCGCGGGCGCTTCTGACATGGACGGCGCCGGAGGCGCCTTTTGTTTGAGTTCGTCCTCCTTCATGGAGAAAGGCGACGCCCCGACAGAAACATCTTGTCGAGCAGGTGGACTCAGCTCGTCACCTCCTCCCCCTCCACCCCTGCCCTTGACCACATCGGAGGAGGAGGGGGCTGCCCCTCCAACTCGTGCTCCACGTTGCCAACCCGACCACCACCATCCCTGCAGCACTGACAGGCCAACGCCTCAGAAATGCACGCACCACAACCGCCTCCTCGTCATCCGTTGTGGCCGCCTCCTCGGCGTATTGGACGGCAGGGACAGTGCACATCGGTTGTCCACATCGGGGGTCTGATTGCGTTTTTTGTAAATATCTAGGAGTGTGGGCGCTAATTTTTTGCCAGTTAAGCTCCTTGCAACCCAGTCCCACTTTGTCAGAAAGTGATCAAACATGCCAAATCACCCGATCAGTGCTTTTTGCAAAAAGTTCTAGTGAAATCACACTGTTTTTTGCAACAGATTACCGACTTGGTGGTTTTCCGCAAACCTAGACGTAAATGTGGTAGTTTTTTGCAATTGACTCAATTTCTGCATTCCAAAGCAACCAACCTTGATCATAACATCCCTTTGAGCATCATGAGTTGTGATGGGTTGAGTCATATCCCAATTGAATATTGTTGCCTTGTTTTTGTAGAACACCCATGCACAATATATAGCCTTCAGATCATCCCAACGAGTTTTGAACTGCTTTTTTCATAGTTTCTATCAGTCTTTGCATTGAACTCATTCATTAATCCTTTATAGCATGCAGGTGTCAAGTATGTGGTCGGCATATGTCCCGCCTCTACTTGATCAGCTGCACACTCACGAAAAATTCTGGTGGCCTCTCGATCCCACTGAGCTTTCACCTTCGTAACCGACATTTACATAGCCAGTTTTCAATTGGCAATTGGTAGAAGGAGTGCCTGGCAAAGATATAAAAATTACCACAAAAGCATAGAGTTGTACCAAATCATAGCCAGTGGCACCACCAATTGACAACAAGTAGTACAAGCAATGAACAATACCAAGGAGTAAGAGCAACTCCAATGGGGCAACCCATTTCGTCCGCCGCCGTCCGTTTGGGTCGGCGCAGACAGAAAAGGCGGCCCAACGCGCTGACCCAAACGGACGCGTGTCCGCTTTTCGTCTGCGGGCGACCCATTCTCGGCCCATTTTTGAGCCGGATTTGCGTCAGCGCGGACACGCGATGGACGCGTGCACGCTCGCCCTCTCCTCCTGCGGGCCCGCAGGTTTGTGTCACATTGCCCTCCCTCATACAACAGCAACCCTCGCCCTCCTCCTCCGTCGCCAACGCCGCCGCCCCATTTTTGCCAGCGACTCTGCCAGCTACCGGGGCATCCACATCCGCCCAGCTACGCCGCCCACTCCCACGGCGTCCGCCACCACCGTCTTGCCGCTGGTAGCCGACTGCTTCCCATCCCCCATGGCCCCCACCAGATAGCCGCTCCCGACCAAGAAGTCGCCTCTCCGCCCGGCTAGATCCTCACCAGCATGCTCGTTGGAAGTCGACATGCTCGTCGAACGCCGGCAAGACAACTAGTTGGTCCGTGCGCGCCGTGACTCCCTTCGCCGACGCCCGCAAGATGTTCGACATTTTGCCAAGGTACAAAATGGACTCCGCCGATGAGTTTTTTTCCCACAATTTCCTTTGCGACTCCGACGATTTGTCCTCCGGTGACAAGGAGGAGATATTGGCTGCCGTGTTGGTCCATCACCACCTCAATAGCCAACGGCCATTGTTCCATGGCTCCATTCCGGGCCACCTTCCGGCGTTGAATCGCAACCGAGAGAGCGGGCATTTCCTTCTTTGGAATGACTACTTTGATACAACAAACCCGTTGTTCAAACATCAGAAATTCCGTCGCCGTTTCCGTATGAGTAGGCATGTTTTCAACCGTATTAGAGAGGGGGTGGTCGGCTATGATGACTATTTCGAGTGCAAAGAGGATGCCTGTGGCAAGATTGGTTTTTCCTCTTATCAGAAATGCACTGCCGCCATCCGAATGCTTGCATACGGAGTGCCTGGTGATCTCATTGACGAGTACGTCCATATGAGCGAGTCTACTTGCCTAGAGTCCCTGTATAAGTTCTGCAAAGCTGTTATTGTTGTGTTTGGCCCTGAGTACTTGAGAGAGCCGGCTGCTGAAGATACAACCGTTTGTTGGCGATGAATGCCAGCAGGGGCTTCCCAGGGATGCTTGGTAGTATAGACTGCATGCATTGGGAGTGGAAGAACTGCCCTTCTGCTTGGCAAGGGCGGTATAAGGGCCATGTCAGGGCTTGCACTGTCATACTTGAGGCCGTGGCGTCTCAAGATCTCTGGATCTGGCACTTTTTCTTTGGCATGGCTGGATCGCACAATGATATCAACGTGCTTCAGCGCTCGGCGGTGTTTGCTAGGCTTGCCGAAGGCAACAGCCCACCGATGAACTTTACTGTCAACGGCCACACCTACGATAAAGGATACTATCTGGGTGACGGTATCTATCCTCAGTGGACCACTATTATCAAGACAATACCCAACCCCGTCGGGGAGAAAAGGAAAATATTTGCCCAAGAGCAAGAGAGTGCTAGGAAGGATGTCGAGCGTGCCTTTGGTGTTTTGCAATCTCGATGGGGCATCGTTCGGTATCCTGCTAATACCTGGAGCATGCAGAAACTGTGGGATGTGATGACTGCTTGTGTGATCATGCATAATATGATCGTAGAAGACGAGCGTCCGGAACGTCTGTATGATCAAGGTTTTCGGTTTCAGGATGAGAATGTTGTGCCTGAGCATGGAGTAGCGGCAACATTTGAATAGTTCACCCAATTTCATCAAGACATGCGTGATTGAGAAACTCACGTGCAACTGCAAAATGATTTGGTTGAGTATATGTGGGCTCAGGGCCGGCCCTGTGTTTCGGGAGGCCCTAGGCGAACTCGACGACATGGGCCCCTATGTCCTAAGTCCTAAGACAATATATATGTATGCGTGTGTTATATATATATAACTTATTATAAAAAGTAACTTTCAATCACACATCTTTAGTTTTAAGTATGAGTATAATAATTCAAATGACTCCATCGAGAACAATAATAACCAAATTCGAACCGACTCCATAAAAAACAATGGTACTAAAAAGATCGCAAAATGAAAGTAATATGACATGATTACCTCAAATAAAAACGAAATTAGACTGACATCAACATTGCTTGAAGATGTAAAGAAGTTATTCAAAGAACCCTTCAGTGCTAGAATTTTTAGATCACTTTCTTTCTTTTTTCTCCTTTTTTCAGCACCCGACAATTGCTTCTTCTTAGGTAACATGGCAGGCTAATGTCCTAAAATCATGAAGAAAAGATCAAAAGAGGATACAAAGAATTAGGAATTTATACATCGGATGATTGGAACCCTAGACATGTACATAGAATGACAAAAAATTGACAGATTGGATTACAATGCGTACATACTAAATAAAGAATAAATAACCTGCTACTGAGATTGTCAAATTGAGGTTTGGGGATGGACAGGGATGCGTACTTCTTGCCGTATTGCCGTACTTCTTGACTTCTTGACTTCCAGTCGGTGCCGGATGCCGAATGGCTGATTGGCCGGGCTGCCGCCTGCCTGCCGGACTGCTGTGGCGGCGACGGCGAGCCGGCGAGGCGAGGGCAGGGCGACGCGGCAAGGCAAGGCGCCGAGCGACGGATCGAGCGAGAAGGCCGACGGGCGTGAGTCAAGGCGCCGTTTAGGCTTCGCCTACGCGTACGTATCCATCAGCGATTCAGCGACAGGCCTGATCAGCGATCGCTAGCTATATCTGGGCCGCCCAGCACATCAGCGACAGGCATGTATAGTATAATTTTTTTTGAGACAAAGGCCTGTATAGTATATGTATACTCCATCATGTGCCCCCCCCTCGGCTGGGCCTTGGGCCGTCGCCCTGTCACCCATGCCCCAGGGCCGGCCCTGTGTGGGCTCATGTTGGCAACCAATAGATGTATCTTCTTTTATTTGTTTGCAAAACTATGTGAGAGCTATGTGAGACCTTTTTATTTTCATTTGGCTTGTAATAAACTATGCAATTTTATTCAGTCCAAAACGATTTTATTTTGAACTATGCAATCATGAAAAAAATAAGGGGGCCACTCGGCACATATGGGTCGGCGCGTTGCGTTCCCTGCCGACCCATATCTAAACAGGGCGGGTGGCTGACATAAACAGGCAAAAAGCGGACGAAATCGCCGTCCGTTTGGTTCGCCCCATTGAAGTTGCTCTAACATTTTCTATCTTTCTTTGACGATGAATAGATCAAAGTTTTCTCGCGGGAAAAAAATCACATCAAAGAGAAGTCACAATTTTTATCTTTCTTTTATTTATACGCTTGCCAAAACAAACCGCGAGTGGTTCACGGCTTCTGCCTACATTATCGCCAGGCCAGGGATCCGAGCCGAAGCGCATCCCGTCCGTCCACGCAAAGCAGATCGAACGCTTCCGTCACCGATCCGGGGCACCCACCCCTCCTCCAATCAGCGCCCACCCTTCCCCTGTATAAACCCAGCCGCCCGTCTCCTCTCTTCTCCCACATCTCGCTCCACCTTCCCCTGCACACAACCCACCACCGGAATCCCCACCCGCCCTCTCGAAGCAGCAGCTAGCGATGGCCCCCAAGCCGGCGGCGAAGAAGCCCGCGGAGGAGGAGCCGGCGACGGAGAAGGCCCCGGCCGGGAAGAAGCCCAAGGCCGAGAAGCGGCTGCCGGCGGGCAAGACGGCGGCCAAGGAGGGCGAAGGCAAGACGAGGGGCCGGAAGAAGGGTGGCAAGGCCAAGAAGGGCGTGGAGACGTACAAGATCTACATCTTCAAGGTGCTGAAGCAGGTGCACCCGGACGTCGGCATCTCCTCCAAGGCCATGTCCATCATGAACTCCTTCATCAACGACATCTTCGAGAAGCTCGCCGGCGAGGCCGCCAAGCTCGCCCGCTACAACAAGAAGCCCACCATCACCTCCCGGGAGGTCCAGACCTCCGTCCGCCTCGTCCTCCCCGGCGAGCTCGCCAAGCACGCCGTCTCCGAGGGCACCAAGGCCGTCACCAAGTTCACCTCCTCGTAGATTCTATTCTTTGTAGAAATGTAGATGGTTCTGTTACTTTTAGTGGTTGTTGACTCTGGTTATCTGCAAATCGTTCAAGTAATAGTCATGGATGGAAGTTGCTGAATGATTTCCCAGAACTGAATCTCTGTTGCTTTTTGGCAAACGGAAGCTAAGTAATTTCTGATGGTTCTGTTTTTGTCAGGCCGAGACTGAGTAATGACTAATATCTGCCAATGCGATTAAGCTTTTTAGTATAATGATAAGATTGATGATCCACTGACACTAGGCTATAGGTGCCCCGATTAATTGCTTGCTGTGATTGAGCACCCTGATCAAGCATTGCTGCTGGTGGTGATCATAAACATGGTTGCCAGTGCTTTGTTGGCTCGTCGGTGGTTACTGAATTTGTGGCTGCTTCTATCAAACTGAAATTTCAAAAGCAATGATACATTTCTGCTACTAAGCTTACTGATTTCTGCTGTGATTATTTGATAGTTACTAGTACTCTGCAAAATGATCGTGATTATATATAGGGGTGATGTAAATTTGCAGATTCATGATTTGCCGACAGCGGATAGGTGCAGAACAGAGTATGTTGTCCGTTAACGTGGCATGGAAGAAGAAGGGCAACCCCAACCCAATTTGTCTCCTTGCTACGCCTTGCTCTTTAGTGGGACTACCAAGCCCATCCCAGTTAAATTGCTTTAGGGGGGTCCCATTGAATAGAAAAAATATATTATGTGGGTTAACTCTCTCAGCTCATCGGGATCCCACCAGCCCCTTCTCGTGGACACACAGAAACAGAGGAGGCGCAACCCTACTCCTGCCGTCGCCACATCTCCTCCCGTCCTCCCCTTCCTCGCAGCTTCTGCCTCCTCCGCCTCACATCGCCGTCCCAATCAAGTTTGGCCAATCCCACTACTCCGGCCGGACGGGGTGGCCAGGTCGCCGCCAGCCGCAACACGGACCCACAGGTCGACAGAAGCATCAGTCCCACATAAGTGATCACGGGGACGGTGGGCATGGGTGCATCGTGACCTGGGGCACGATGATCGCGGGCATGTCCAGCATGGGCGACATTGTGGCATTGTAGCCAAGAAAAACTTGGTGCCAACGAGCCCCGGCTAGACGAACGTGCTCACCGACGCGCGGCATTTCCGAGCTAGAGCGCGCGCAACGAGCAACGAAACCATCGCCACCGTTAGGCAGCAAGGGAACAGAGTATGTTGTCCATTAACGTGGCATGGAAGAATAAGGGCAACCCCAACCCAATTGGTCTCCTTGCTACGTCTTGCTCTTGTTCAGAGTAATAGTTAGCGTTGCTTATTCGGTAGTAGCAACTATTATTAGGCTGGATCAGTTTAGTGCTATACAAATGGTGTTTTTCTGAAAATGTCTAGTGTATGACTGTATGCCAATTAACTTGTTATCCATCTCTCCATTCTCTTGCTGGAAGTCGTTTCTTACATGAGTTGAAGTTGAGACATGCTTATCTTATTGCCTCGTTGGTTACTGAAGACTTCACATTTAGTGTATCCATGGAAGCTATGGTCTTCTGGCTGTACCTTCGGACATGTCGGTATCATGAACTACTAAAATAGAACGTGGATTATCTACGGTTAAATTGAAGGATTGAGGATTGATAACTTCCATGAGTCGACACGATAGTATATGCACCGCTATATAGTGTACGGGTAACTTTGAATATTGGTCGTTGGAGGTGAGAAACGGACCCAACGTCCTCCCTTCTATGCGACTCGGGGCTGATGATCCACCGATAGTAGGTTATGCTTCTGTGTTAGGCGCAGAACATAGTACATTGTTGAATGGCCCCGTTTCTTTGCCTGTTGTCACTGAGCATTGCCGCTGCGATGATCATTAACATGGTTGTCGATGCTTTGTTGGCTTGTAGTTGGTGACTGAATTTGTGCTGCTTTTGGCAAATTGAGATTTCGAAAAGCTGTGATACATTCCTGCTACTATGTTTACTGATTTTTCTGCTGTGATTTGATGGTTCTCCCGATCTATGCAAAATAATTGTGCTGTTGTAGCAACGTAAATGTAAATTTTGCACTTTCACGATCTACTGACAGTAGGTTGGTGCAAAAACAGAGTAGTAGTGTTCATTAACAGAGCACTAAATATAACCCTCTGCACTTGAAAATAAAGGATTCATAACTGATGTGAGATGCCACAATAGCATCTATACCCGTGCCACTATTTTTTTTGACAACATGTATGTCTATACGCCTATGTAGAGTCTAGGAATAATTTTGAATATTGGTTGTTGGAAATGAGAAACCGACCCCGTGGCGTCCTCATTCGGCGACTCAGGGGAGCTAAACCTAGTTC